ACCGAGCGTATCTTCTGAGTCCTGGCGGGGCTTCCTCTCCTGCCAGACCCCACGGCTGTGTGAGTGTGCATCGGGGAAGAGCCAGGCTTGCAGGTGGGGAGTGAGTACCTTGTCCAGAGTAAAAGCATTCTGCGGAACAGTCCCTTCAAAGAACTTATTTAGTCCTCAGGACGACCCAGTGAGCTAGATAGTGTAACTAGATAGCATTATCTTCCTTTTGTAGATTAGGAGACAGGCACAAAGAGTGAATGATCTTTGCCAACATCAAACAGCTGGTAACTGGTAGAGCTGAGATTTGAACTGAGAACATTCTGACCCAAAGCCTCAGCCCCTCACCACTGTATTAGAGTGATGATGACTATGAGCAGTGTTGAGGTGGAAAGGAACAAAGGTGAGGGGTTCATTTTGAAGTGAATGACATGGGCCCTGACTGGTGTGGCTCAGTGGGTTGGGCACCATCGTATGAAGCAAAAGGTCGCTGGTTCAGTTTCCAGTTGGGGCACACACCTGGGTTGTGGGCCACGTCCCTGGTGAGGGCGTACGAGAGGCAACTGATCGATGTTTCTTTCCTTCCCTTCCCCTCTTTCTGAAAATAAATATAGAACACCTTTAAAAATAAAATAGAATAAAATAAAATGAATGACATGGATGTGGGCCCCAGAGTAGGTCACAGGGAGACCAAGTTTGAAGCCTTTGAGCTGGAGGTCTCTGCTGCAGGGAAAGCTGCTGACCCAATAAGGGGACATTTTTGACCCTCAGTGATGGGGAAGGCAGTTCCTAGTACCCCAGAAATATGAGAGAACATCCCAGCTCTGGCCTGGTGACTGTGCCTAGGGGAAAGGAATGAGGAAATAGGGGTGCTACCGTGGGGCAGAGAGTGGGCCCCCACTTCTCTGAATAGCAGGTTGGAGTGGTGGGCACAGGAGGACTGAGGTTGGGTGGGTGAGAACCTATTTGCTGAGGTGACTGCCTCCTATCGAGAAGAGCACCTTGCCGATGGCCTGGATCGGGAGGGATGAGGTGCCTGGGATCCTAGCAAAGGGCTCGACCTGGACCAGTGTTTCTGCCCCCATTCCATGAGAACTGAGGCCCTCACCAGGGTGTGGGCGTAGAGCTCCCTGCCTTTTTTTGGGAGACTCAGGGTCCTCCCTGGATGGTGTGGGAATTTCCATGACCAGGCAGCCCCTGGAAGGGCAGCTTTGTGCCAGGGTTCTGGTTCAATCGTGACTTGGGGCTTTGTCAAGGGCCTTGTTGTGGATGGTGATGGGGAAAGTGGTTCTAGGGCTCTTAGAGCAGCTAGAACACATGTTGTGTTTGTGCAGTGGGTTAAGTGTGGGACTTCTATCGCAGATGCAGCCCTGTGGTTTTCTGGGTTTACCTTTGCTCTGTCAAATGCATGAACCAGAAAGACAACTGATGCATTACACAAAGCAGGGCTTCTTCCTATTACCCAAAGCCCTCAGGCTGCACAAACAGACGTGTTTTTAGTTGTGACATTTGCTTTGGAAGTGCTCATGACCAGTGGTATGTTAACAGTATTTAGATATCTATCACCCTTGAGTTTGCACAATAGGCAAAAGTAAAATAGAAAATGAAAACAGTGTCTCTGATTGTGGTTTTTAAATTTGCATTTCTCTGAGTAGTGACATTGAGCGTGTTTTCCTATGTCTGTCTATTGGCCATCTGTATGTCCTCTTTAAAAAAGTGTTTATTCAGGTCCTTTGCCCATTTTTTAATTGGAGTACTTGTGTTTTGTTGTTGAGTTGTATGAGAGATCTCCCCTCACACCTGTCGGAATGGCCATCATCAATAAGTCAACAAATAAGTGTTGGGAGGATGTGGAGAAAAGGGAACCCTTCTGCACTGTTGGCAGGGATGCAATTGGTACAGCCACTGTGGAAAACAGTATGAAGTTTCCTCAAAAAATAAAAATGGAACTGCCTTATGACCCAGAGATTCCACTTTTGGGAATACATAAAAAAAAAGTCTGAAATACTGATGAAAGAATATATGCACCCCTATGTTCATTGCAGCATTATTTATAATAGCCAAGATTTGGAAGCATCCTAAGTGTCCATCAGTAGATGAATGTCCAGAAAAGCCATGGCACATTTGCACAGTGGAATACTACTCAGCCCTAAAAAGAAGGAAATCTTACCTTTTGTGACAGCATGGATGGACCTAGAGAGCATTATGCTCAGTGAGATAAGCCAGTCAGAGAAAGGCAAGTGCTATATGATTTCACTTATATGTGAAATCTAATTACAAAATAAATGAACAAACAAAATAGAAACAGACTCACAGATACAGAGAACAGACTGACAGTTGTCAGAGGGGAAGAGGGTTTGGGCGCTCGGTGAAAAAGGTGAAGGGATTAAGCAAAAAACAAAAACAAAACAAAACATAGACACAGGCCACAGTATGATGATTACCAGAGGGAAAAGGGAGTAGGGGGAGGCAGAAGAGGGTAGAGTGGGGGTAAGTGGTGATGGAAGGAGACAACATACAGATGATGTATTATAGAATTGTACACTTGAAACCTATATAATTTTATTAACCAATGTCATCCAAATAAAATTCAGTAAAATTAAAAAATTATTTCTTGTGGCAGAAAATTACTGGGGATTAGGTTATCCTATATCAGGGTCCTTTTGGGAATGAAAGAATCAGAGCCCTGGGTGATGCCCCCTAACTTCCCTCTTTCTTGCAAAAGGGACCCTGCAGGATTCTGTTTAACTTCCCGATCTCCACCTCCAAAGCACTTAGGAGGCCACATATGGCCTGTAGCAGACCCAGGGGCCCAGCTATGAAGGCTGCCTTTCCCCCTCTGTCTAGGCTGGTATTTTTTCTCAAAGCCTCCCAGGTCAGCAATTTAAGGATTTCAGAAGCTAGATTGGACTGTGACGAATCAGTGTGACCGAAAATTAGATAAAACTCCAAGGACACGAAATCTTTTCTTTTCTGGAGGAGCCTGCTTGCTTGGGCCTTTCTCAAAGCTCAGCCCAAGAGGGCACTGCCAGGCCCGGCAGAGGAGGTGCTGGCCAGGGAAGCTGACAGACCTGTTTTCTCTCCTCAACTCTGCTAGAACCTGTGTGACCCTGTACAAGTCGCTTCACCTCTTGAGCTCAACCCCAGTTAGCCTCCATTTGGCCCCCTAATAATTAGGTTGTAATAGAGCAGCGATTTATAACCTTTTTCATCTGATGGCACACATAAACTAATTACTAAAATTCTATAGCATACCAGAAAATATATTTTTTGCTGATATGACCAAAAAAATAAGTATAATTTTGATTGATCTACAAAAATAAAATAATAATAGTAATTATCTACTCTTTTTTGCCCCAAAGTGACTTTTTTAAAAAAATCAGATACCTGTACTTGAATATAGAGATTTCCAGTACCAAGAATTAATCAATCAGGTATAACCTTATTATGTAACATGACCAATAAAATGCAGCTCTATCATATCACCTATCTAGTTATAGTTCAAGACAGGGCATTCACACCGGATGGCTATTGTTGTGTTGGTTGTTGTCATTTTTTAATTTGACAGTCTAAAGGAAAAGAGGTCAGTGCCCCTGACTAAACAGGTATTAGATGTTTTAAAAATTCTTGCAGCACACCCGTTGGAAAACACTGTAAGAGAGGATGACAATGGGACTTTCAAACTAGAGCATTCTATAATTTCAACACACAAGTACCACCGTTTGTGTTATCTTTTCATCTTTGTTTTAAATCCCCTTGCCCTACTAGATTATGAAGTGCCTGGAGACAGGAACTCTGCTATATACATCTTGGTACCTCCCAAAATATCTAGCAGAATGCTTTTCGTCTAGTAGGTGCTTTAAATATCTGCTTGATTTATTGATTATAGATTGGCATACATTAGAAGAACCCTACACTTGGCCTATAGATGATGACTTTTGTGAATATGTCAGAGCTGGGAGCCACTAGTGGCCATCCTCAGTGGCTGTAATTGACAGGCTGGAAAACCAGTGAAGATGGTTGGCAAATTGGCTGCTGATGAATGGTATTATAGTGTGGAAAGAAAGCAAATTGCTTCTCTACCTACAGTTTCTTTCAAGTACAATAAAGGAAAAGTGGAACCTTAAGTCAATGCATTGACTTATCTTCCTTCACTCTTGGAACTTGAAGTTTGCTCGGGCTGGTTTTCATTTTCTCTTTTGGTGTTACGTGTGGCAGAGGGCTTTGAGAGTTGTGTCACTAGTAGTCTAGTAGTCTCGTGTGACTACTCCTGAGTCCAGGCATTTCTGACCTTGGAAACACCCACGTCACACTATATCAGGTTACTAGAGTTTAAATTCCAAGGCAGATGTGAGATGTGATATGAGATGTTTTAAGTTGTTGGCATGTGTGTGTGTTTATAGCCAGTTTGTATGTGCCCATGTCCTGTGTGTATAAATGTGTGCAGTTGCATATAATTTTATACTGCAGATGCCTCGCCAGTTGCTAAGTTATTTGCAATGAACTTAAGCTTTCATGTTTGTAAGTGTGGTAATAACTTTAGGCTTCCCAGTCTCATTGAATGCAAGCTCTTGGGGATATAAGATACAGAAGTTTTCAACTTTTCCCCCAGCTGGTCTCTGAACTCCTGGTTAACAGATTCAGTGAAATCAAGAATTTAAATGACACAAGGAAAAGTCAACATTGTTTTACTGTACCATAGAAATGGGAGTATAGGAATCATTGTTCATCAGAGTGCAGCTAGAGTAGAGCCAGCCTGCATCGAGAACCCCAACTATAATTTTTTTTCAATAGGTATTGATTGTGAGGGTGGTCAGGGGTGTGTGTGAATTGTCAATCAAAGGGGAGAGGTGATATTTAGACACCTCTCTCTGGTGTCTTGAGGAGGAAATGGTTCCTGTCTAGGTTTTAAGAAAGACTAAGATTGTGTTTCTTATTAGGAGTCTCTTCAAATTTGTGCTATTACCCCTTGGCCGTTGGTAACTGTAATCGACTGTCTCTGTCTTCTATAGCTTGGAATTGCAATTGGGTTCTTGGTCCCTCCTGTTTTGGTGCCCAATATCCAAGACCAGGACAAGCTTGCCTTCCACATCAGCATCATGTTCTACATAATCGCAGGTGTCGCCACGTTGCTCTTCCTCCTGGTCATTATTGGTAAGTTCATTAGTAGACTGCTGAGGGTGGGGTGAGGGGAGGCAGGGAGGTTCTCCCAACTTTGGTGCGGCCCTTGTGAACATGGCCGTAGAACATGGTGGACTTTTACAGAAACTGGAGGCCAGGCCTCTCCTGGTTTTCAGTATCCCTAGTACAGTGCCAGCTGGTCTTGTGCATGTTGTCAGTGGCTCAGTAAAGGTATAATTGTGACCAAACAGTTCCCCAGTACAACCTCGCCAGAATGAATGGTCAGGCTGCTGATCCCTTGCCAACACACCATGAGCATTTATCACAGGCATTGTGCTGTTCATGCCTGATCTTATGTAATCCTCAGCAACCCTGTGAGTGAGGGTACCATTATCCCATTTAACAGAGAGGAAGAATTAGGGGAGTCAAATAAATTATTGAAGATTAAATAGTAGCAGAGATTAGATTTAAGACTAAACATAGCTAGTGCTATCTAAATTTCTGGAACAAAACAGAATTAACCCGCAAACACTCATAAACTTATAGATTCACCTGAGAGTTCCTGGGTATCACATTTTTAATGCTTTTAAAAAATATATATATAAAAATAATATATGCTCATTATGAAAAAATCTAGAAAATACAAAGGAAAGAATGACCATTAATTTTGCCCTGTACAAGGTAATTGCAACCTCAGATAATTATTGTTAATTTTATATGCATGTATATTTAATCACTGAGATATTTAGTTAATATGATTAAAAAATTTTTTTATTATACAAGTTTCAGGTATACAGTACTCTAATTCAACATCTATATACACTTTAAAGTGATCACTACCACAAGTCTAGATACCATTCATCATCATACAATTGATGGATAATATAACTTCTTATCTTCTTTTATGATCTGAGTGATATTACATGGGTGGTGATAACTTCAGAAACAGCAGAGTAGAGGTTTTCATGGTCAATTAGTCACTGTCTAAAGGTTAACCAGTTTTCTCCCTAATACCTGAAAGTGTCACTCACTGTGTTAAAGGTTTCACTCCTTCCTTCTGGACTCATCTCCAGAGTCAAACAGTTTCATAATCATTCACCTCATTCAACTGTTCCCACCATGACAGTTTCCTCCCTTGGGTCTAAGTTGAGAAAGGGCTGCCTGCTGGCTTCTCAAAGTTGGCAGGGTATCTTAGACCAAGGACTCAGTGTTCCTGGAAAGGCGAGAGGCTGTAGAGCTGTGGGTAAGAGCATGAAAGGACCATCCAGCCAGGGCGCCTCTCACTCAGCCAGACCTGAAGTTTCAAATTGTAACGTGCCTGGCTCTACGTTCTTGTTTGTGGCAGACAAGGGCCTGGTCCTTTGCAGCTGAAATCCTGGAGGTGGGACACTTGCACATTTTGGTATTTTATTATCAAGCATAGACAGTGCTATTGAATAAAGAACTGAAAGATCTTACCTGAAATCTGGTTTGTGGTTGCCAAGGCCTTGAGAAAGCAGCGGCTTTTGCAGAGATCAATACTGGGTCTTGCTTTCTTTTCCCTGATGGAAGGGGAGGTGAACAGGCAAAACAAGGGGGAGGTGAACAGACAAGACAAGGGATGAGCGCATCCCACCAGCAGGCAGTTGTCCTGGAGGAAGTTTGCCAGGGCTATTTCCAAGGAGAAAGTAGCCTGGCTGTGAAGCCAGGGGCAGGGGGAAACTTTGATCTTCAAGACATTAAACTGCATTTCCAGAGTTTCCTTTAACTGGAGAAAGAATGTTCTCCTGGGGTGAAGGGGAGGCCACATGGTGCTTGCTTGGACCCAGTTGGGGAAAAGTTTAGCTAAAAAACTGGTTAAACTGATATGCCCGCCAGAGAACTGAATAGCAGTCAATGCAATTAAATTGATTGTACCAGTTGTGCTGAAAATAGAATATAAAATGAATAGTTTTCCCCGTTGTCCTTCCCAGTCCTTCATGCCAGAGCGGCCACTGCCACAGGAGCATGCGGATCCTCGAGTCCCTCCAAGGCAGGGGTTTGATTCAGACCTTGAGGGACTCAGCATGGACTCTCAAGGTTTTCCTGGTTGAAGATCCTTTCACTCACTCAGGAACGATTACTGACCGCCATGTGCCAGGCTCTGCTGGGCACGGGCAGCACAGTCCCTTGCCTCTTAGGAGGAGCTCTGGGACTAAGCCACTCACTGGGCTCACCAGCCCTAAAGCCTCAGCACCTTTCTCTCTATCCGGGTGTCACTCTTGTGTCTTTTTCAGTGCTCTGTGAGGTGTTATTTGCTGGTTGTTCTGGGACTCCTTGACCCTTGAATACTGCCTGGGAGGCCCCAGCGGTTGCAGCCATCCAGAGGCCATTAAGAAAAAGTAATCAATAGGCCACTCACTCAGCCATAGATAGTGAAGAGCAGCTTCAAGAGAGGCAGCTGGAAAGGATTTACCTGAAGAATTGATACTTCCTTTTGAGTCTTAGCTCCTTCCGGGGTGATGGAGCCAGCCCTTGTCTATGTGTAACTATGGGGGTAAGCACAGGGATGTTCAGTGATCTCTCTGTTTCTTTCCTTTCAGTTTTCAAGGAGAAGCCTAAACATCCCCCCAGCAGGGCCCAGTCCCTGAGCTATTCCTTGGCATCCCCTGATGCTTCCTACTTAAGTTCCATCGTCCGGCTCTTCAAAAACCTCAACTTCATGCTGCTTGTCATCACCTACGGTAAGGTGCAGCTCTGTCCAGGAGGGTACTTGAACTGGGAATGGGAGACAAGAGGCCTGAGGTGTCTGTGCATCTTACTTCTTCCAAATGCCAAATGGGCATGTGAAGTAATTGTTTAGAGTCAACTGGAACAGTCGGCTCTGTCTCAGGGCCTTTGCATGTTCTGTAAGGTCCACCTAGAACCATTCCTTCCCATATCAGATTATCTGACAAATGGCTACCGATCCTCCACCTCTCATCTCAGCATCACTGTTGGCAAGCAGTATTAGGTGATGTTTCCTTCCTTATCGTGCTGTTTCACCTCCAAGTCTGTCTTCTCACTCAACTGTGACCTCCCTGAGAGCAGAGATTTTCATCTCTTTTTCTTTATAGTTATGCCTTTTCCTCATGAGCAGTGGCTGGCCTGGAGTGGATACTCCTATAGTTAATGAGTGAATGAATGAATGAATGAATGAATGGGTGAATCAATAAATGAACGCATGCATGCAGAAGTGAGTCTTGCCATATTAACTACTCCTCAACCAATCTTCCTTTATCTTATAACATTGACCTTTTTTTTTTTTTATCTGCAAGACAAATATCCCTGTTTCATTTCATTTTGTTGTCTTTTGGTAAGATACATGTACATCTTTATGCTGGTGTATCGGCTTGCCTCTCCAGCGTGGTGTTTCTGCAGCTTCTTTCCAACTTTTAATAAGAATGTTAGACCAAGTAAGAAGGGTAAGGACAGAACCTCAGGGCATTCCAGTAAAGAGATCCATCCAGCTATACTGCTATCCACCCTACACTTGACCATTTATTCCACCAGCTAGTTTAAAATCAAGAGTCAGCAAGTGTGTAACATGCTCAGTAACTATATTAAAAAAAATGAGATGGGTTTAACGTGACCTACTCTGAGTGAAACCACCATTGACTACAACCTTATGCCCTCTATAGACCCACAAACCATGTGTTTTATAACAATAGCATTTACTATGTGCCAAGACTTTTGACAAATGCTTTTATTTAACTTCTACCACAGCCATGTTAGGTACTGTAACTATCCCCATTTAACATATGTGGAAACTGAAACTCAGAGAGATTAGGTAACTAGCCCAAGACCACACAGCTTTCTGTGCAGAGCCAGGATTCAAATACAGGTTTGTCTAACTCCAACACCTGCACTCTTTATGCCTGTTACATAATTGCCTAGGACTGTACTGCAGTTTCATTTTAGGCTTATCAATGCCCTTCATTTCAAACTGTTTATCTACCAAGGCATTGATAAGAGGTGGTATCATCCATGGGTAGAGAGGCATGCCTAAGTATTTTTGGCATGTGCAATAGTTAGATGCCCTCTTATCTGGAATAGCTTTAGATCAGCGATTTTCAGCCTTTATCTTATGGCACATATAAACTAATTACTAAAATTCCGTGGCACACCAAAAAAAGTATTTTTTTCCAATCTGACAAAAAAAAAGTAGGTATAATTTTGATTCATTCACAGTGGATGGCTATTGTTGTGTTGGCTGTTGTCATTTTTTTTTATTTGACAATCTACGGGAAAAAGGAGTCAGTGCCTCTGATGAAATAGTCTGGTATCGCACGTTATTCCTGCAGCACACAACTTGACAATCGCAGCCCTACATAACTAGATTAGTCTTCAAGGTCTTGGGTCTCTACTTCTCATTCTCTCCAGCTTTTCAGTTTTTAGTGTATTTCTGCATTCATCCCCAGCAATAAGCTGGCTCATATGGACTGATGAGCAAAGCGGTTCACTCCAGAAGCATTCAACTCTGTTGTCTAGATATAGAATTTATTAACATTTTTCTCAAAGGCTTATCGCAGTGAGAGGGGGTTAAACCAGTCTGGATGTTTGTACTCATTTCAGAGAACCACAGGCCTAATTTCCATGGTAGAGAATTGGACTTGGAGACAAGGCTGTTTGCCAACAAGGAAATGATCCTTAGGCTTAATTGCAGATTTGAAAAAAAGTTTATTGAGCCATTACTGTGTGTCAGGCACCATGTTAAGTCTTTATATGCATTATCTCTTTTAATCTTCAAAACAAATCTGTGACATAGGTCCTTTACTTTATTCCATTTTGTACCTGAGGAAACAGAGGCTCTGGTTTAGTTCCTTGCCCACAACCGGACAGCTCCCACGCAATAGAGCTTAGACATACGCTTCTGTCTGTCTGATGCCACAGCCCCTCTTTCTCGCCATTGTGCCACTTTGCCTCCCCATGCAGGACCCAGCCTTGTGGAGACAAAGCCGGGGCTCTTTTCTTAGCCCACTTGCCCAAGTGGTCTTTGGGTCTGCCTTCCTCAGAATTCATTCTCCAGACCAGTTACCTGGGGGTTGCTTTCTTTTAGAGTGTGGGTCTAGAGTTTTAGGGTTTTTGAAGGAGGACCGACATATTGGCCAGCCACCTTTGGGATTTGGGGATGATGGGGTCTCAGCTTTAGTGTGTCTCTTTAAGGTTTACAGGTCATGTCAAGGCCGTCCACCTGAGAATCTCTGCTTTCTTCTCCCACCATCTTTGCTTCAAATTGAAAACAACAACAAAACCTATAAATTCAACACATGGCAAGGATTCTAGCAGATAACAGAGTTTCACGAACACATTTGCAGGACATGGGTGGACATGCTTAGGAGTAAGAGCCTTGAATGCCGGACCAGTGAGTTCAGAGTTGCACACAGGGAATGGGAGGCCAGAGGTTTGGTGTCCGCTCTGTCAATTCCTGACTGTGCCACCTTCACCCATCTGTTGTCCTACTTCCCACCACCCCTCAGAAAATAGTAAAAACATTTACTTCCCATTGAAGTTCTCTGATTAGAAATGAAAACTTTACAGTTAATTGCAAATAAGGACATGGCATGCATCCACATTGCTGTTGCATTGATTAATGTGCTGATTCCTATATACTTTCTTTGGTCTGAACTAGATTTCCCCAAGTAGGGAGTAGCTCTTGTGTAGCCCTTGGGATGTCCAGTGTTGTATCTGTAGTGGTTTTCCTGTGCTCTCCCAGCTGCTGAGTCAGCTACCCGGAGCTGAGGTGCAGTGATACAATGAAGGCGTTGGAGGAATTTCTCTAGAGGCTCTGGGAGGTTTGTGATAAAATAAGTGCCACCAAGTTAAATTTGAATTTCGGATCAATTCTTTTTAGTATAAACATGTCTCATGTGATATTTTGGGTATATTTATGTTAAAAAATTACTCATTTTTTTTCTGAAATTCAAATTTAACTGGTTATGCTGTTTGTTTAAGGAAAAAAACCCAAACATGTTTGGTTTGGCAGTCCACTTAGTGGGGAGGACCTGAAGAAGTGGGTTTGTGCTTGATGTTGCCAAACTATCACAAGAAGAAGAAACTCCCTCCTTCTCTAGTAAGATACCCTCCCTCCTCCAAGCCTGGCAATGCTGGAAGATGTGGGCTAGAACCAGATCCCCAGAGAGTCTAACAGAATTTGGGGTAAGGCAGGTCTTGGGATGTGTATTGGCAGTGGGTGCGGGGTGAAGAAAAGAACATTTCTTTGGCCTCCTTCTTTCTGTGTCTCTAGGTCTTGCTTTCACATGACCACCTCTAATCTCTTTTCATCAATGGTGATGGTGTGATGCTTGCCACATTAAAAAGAATCATTGAAAATTCTTCTCCTCTGAAGAATGTCCTCAAAGGGAATACTTTTCCATGTTATCCCCAGCCTTGCCTCCATTGCTTCTTTTTTAAAAGGGTTTTACTTATTTATTTTTAGAAAGAAGGGAAGGAAGGGAGAAATAGAGGGAGAGAAACATTGAGGTGAGAGAGAAACATTGATCAGCCACCTCCTGTACATGCCTCAACCAGGGAGTGAACCTGCAACCCCTCACCTTGCAGGACAACACCCAGCCAACTGAGCCTCATCAGTCAAGGTGCCTACATTGCTTCTGAATACTCTTCTAATGATAGTCATCTGAATTCAGAGCCTCAGTGTGTGTCCTGAAGATATCTTCCCTTGGGTCTCTCAAGGGCTCCATCATTGCCCCACTTGCATGGGCCTAGGAAGGGTGATTTGTGCCCCCTTACAATTCTGGCTTTAGAATGGGTATATGGGGCCTCTGGGACAACTTCAAGTGTACGAACATTCACATCATGGTGGTGCCAGAAGGAGAAGAGAGAAAACAAGAGATTGGAAACCTATTTGAAAAAATAATGACAGCAAACTTTCCTAACTTGGTGAAGGAAATAGACATACAAGTCCAGGAAGTACAGAGGGTCCCAAAGAAGATGAACCCAAAGAGGCCAACACGAAGACATGTCATAATTAAAATGCCAAAGGTTAAATACAAAGAGAGAATCTTAAAATCAGCAAGAGAAAAGAAGTTAGTTACCTAGAAGGGGAACCCCCATAAGATTGTTGGTTGATTTCTCAAAAGAAACTTTATAGGTTAGAAGGGATTGACAAATATTCAAAGTGGTAAAAAGCAAGAACCTACAGCCAAGATTGTTCTGCCCAGCAAAGCTATCATTTGGAATCAAAGGACAGATAAAGAGCTTCCCAGACAAGAAAAAGCTAAAGGAGTTCATCATGATCAAACCAGTATTATATGAAATGTTAAAAGATCTTTAAGAAGAAGATCAGAAATAAGAACCATAAAGTGGCAATAAATACATATCTATCAACAATTGAATCTATAAAACAAAATAAACAAGCAAAACAGAAACAGAATCATAGATACAGAGAGCGTTTTGATGGTTGCCAGATGGAAGGAGGGTCAGGGGGATGGGGGAAAAAGGTGAAGGGATTAAGAAGTACAAACTGGTAATTACACAATAGACATGAGGATATAAAGTACAGCATAGGGAATAGAGTAGCCGAAGAACATATATGCATGACCCATGGACATGAACAATGATGTGAGAATTGCCTGAGGGAGTAGGGGAAATGGGTGGAGGGGGCCAAAGGGGTGAAAACTGGGACAACTGTAATAGAATACGCAATATAATATAATTTTAAAAAAATTGATCTTTTAAAAGAGAA